GAAGCAATTACTCAGAGTATTCAGATTTTACAGACAGCTAAACTGAGGCTCACAGAGATTAACTAACTAACTTGCCTCTTAATATAAAAATTGCAGACAAAAAGGATGGAATTAGAAACCAGGCAGTCTAGTTCCAGAATATGTGCTCTTAATTATTATATTTCTATGCAAGAAAAAATAAAGTGATGAGTATAATTACATTCACAGATACTTAAATTGTGATAGAAAGTAATATGAAAATTTATCAATTTTAAATATACATACTGAAAGGTCAAAAACTTCTTGAAAGGAGTGTAAATAAATATCTTACAACACTGAATAAATTTATTTCATTAATTTCAGTGTTCAATTTCTTTTTTAGTCCACAAATAATTCCAATTGGTCCTCTACCAAATAGTCTGAACAAGTACATTGTGAGTAACTGACACAGGTCAGTAATATAATTTTATATAGAGTTATTGATTAATCCATAGAATTATAGCACTGAACAAGTGCACTAAAATCTTCTTACGTTAATTACCTTAATTAAGAAAAGGTAGGAACTTTAGGTTCTTCATTTTTAACCTGATTTCACAAATAGCAGAGCTGTCACTGAACCCAGCTTTATTCTTATTTGGTAGCAAAGAGAACGAAAGACAAAACCCAGCTATATGGAGAGGGATGAACTTGGACTATTGCTCTCCGTGGATTTCTCAAGGGGATATAGGAGAAAGGTCACCTTTCTGGCATATGCTCATCTGTAATGGTTTAATGAATAATTGTAGATCTGAATGAACCTGCCCAGGCAACTCCGAACAGAGAAAGGCATAGTCAAGGTGGGACATGTAGGAGAAGCTAAAGAATCTTTAAACAATTGAGCCTCCTAGTCTGCTTGTCATAGCTTTGTGCCCTTATGAGCACCCTAACTGGCCAGCATATTTGAGATGTCAGGTTCAACCTGCAATCTGGAAGTAGATAAAAACCTTGATGAATCATGCATACATCCCCTGTGGTTGACCAGTTATAAACTGCTATGGTGGAGAATGATGGGCTATATTCAGGAGAAAACCTTTACTCAAGAAGGCATGGTACCACCATTCTTCCACGAGCAAACGAAATAATGCATCTTTATTTTTTTTAAGCAAGCAACAAGAGAAAAGCAAAACAGTGTTCCAATATAAGAATGTAAAATTCTATAAAATATACTTTTTATTTCTGAAATTTCTCATAATCAATTGTTACTAAATGTATTTGCAATACAAAAGTACCCAATGCAAACTCTGACTTTTTAGGTATATGCAGACAATTCTGACAAAGGTGAATAAAGCATAAATCAGTTAAATAAACATATTGCAAGAAAAATTTAGGAAATAGTTGTACTCAATTCATATCTGTCATAAAAGACCCCTTTGAAATCTAAAATGTCTCTGCTTTCTTTAATCAGGAACAACAAAATCAATCTTTACTATATCAAGACTTTTTCTGTCACAAAAGAGTAATAATCTTATGCTTTGATATATGCATCATTTAGAGTTTTATATGTTTTTACTTTACCACTAAATTGGCTGGAAATTTTTTTCCTCACTGGAAATGTATGCCATTGTTTAGAAATTAATAGTAAATATGTTGTTCATATAAATAACATATGACAAATTACTCAGAGTTGATGATGTGAAAGGCATTACTATTATGAATTATACTCTATCTCAAATTTCATAACAAAAATGCTTACAGCATACCAAAAAACCCCACAGGTTCATGAAAATCCCTATGTGAGGTAACTATTTTGGGAACAAAATGATTTTTAAGATAGTAGATATTAAATCATAATTCTTTCTTAATAATTTAGCTGCTTATGACCAATGAACACCTCTGATTGAGACTGCTGTCCAATGACAACAGTTTTTGACTTTTAGTTAATATTAGCAATGTTTTCTTGCATCACGCTAATTATCACATACTGAAAGACCAATGTTAAAAAGGGGATCCAGTGATAGACAAAAATCTTTCCCTAAATGAGTATATACTGAAAACTTTAAAAGTGTTCCACTTGAAATAAAAATAGAGCAATGTATTGAATCTCTGTCATAGTACTACTCCTGGTGGTGTCTGACCCTTTCTTAGCTGTAAGAGATGTTCCTTTTTGCTTCTTAAAAAACAAGCTAAACAAACAAAACAAATGCACCCTCTTTCTATAGCAGGATTTTTATCACCATACTAAAAATATCTCTCACTTTGATAATTGACAATATCAAATATTTATACTCTTAAAAAATCAGACAGGAAAGAGTTAACACGAATATCTGTAGCCAACCGCCTTCCTCAAATCCCCCATTTTCCTGGGAAAAATATACAGTTTTAAACCTTAAATTATAGAGATAAAAAGAATTGGGGTACCACAAATTGTAAAGTTTAGTGATGAATAAATCAATGCAAATTTAGTTGTCAGCATAAAAAGCATCCCTCTGAAGCTTTGCTCCAACTATAATAACTTTCTGTGCTTACTGAAAAAAAAAATTATGATCATATGAGCTTCATGCATGATTGATATCATTATGTTTATTTTAAGGCTACCCTTGAGAATCAATCAAATAAAACATTCCCAGTGTGTATGTTTTGCAACCAGAATGAGGAACACAATATAAGTGTCTCTTCTGGAGAGGAAGTGATGGACTATTCTTCCCATTAGTGTTTCCTATCAAAAAGAAACATCAAATAGAAGCAAATCAGGCAGAAATTTATGTCAGAAAATATCCTGTCATTCTGTGTTCTTCACAATATTTTCATTTCACTAGCAGCTACTCTTACAATCTAAAAATAATAATAAGGGTATCATCACACATAAAGACGCTTATAAATCCAACCAAAATGAGCTCAAGAGCTTAAAAATACTATTTGAGGATAGCACAAACTATGGCATATAATCTGCTGTAAACCATTAAAAATTCCCGTTTTATTAAGTAAGGTTTTAAAGGTCTGAGATGGCACATGACTTCTTATCTGTCATACTTAAATCTGTGCAGTAAATATGAATAGTATAACTTAAATACTCTACAAATGGGAAAATAACTGTTTTCTCCATAAACCATTTTTCCTCACACATCTTACTGAAGAGAAGGGGTCATTGGAATTCAAAATGAAGTAAGTTTTTTTGGTACAATCATAACTTTTTATTGCATAATAACACTGAACCAACTGAGGGATTCCAATATAAATAAATAAAATCTAACTTAAGTTTAGTCTCACAAAAACTCTAATGATCATCAAAACTCATGCTATCCTAATTTCTGAAAGCAAATCTAAGGCTTTCCTAAAGCAGGTAGCCATCAATCCAGACTGTCCTTCCCTTCCCTTGGTGAAAAAGACACAACCTTGCACTTAACTTTTTACCACCTCCCCCACACTCCAGCTCACTACCATCACCACCAATCTGAGGCAATAGGCCCTTCTGTTTATAACATTATAAATAACAGCTTGCCACTTTAATTCCTCCAACCTATGAACTAATCCTTCATTTCAACATTAAATTATCTCTTGATTTAAATGTTAGGTACAAAAATCCATCTGTGGCATGTAATTCTAAAAGTTCAAATTTGCAATCGAAAAAAATCTGGACTTTCAAGCCCCTTTCTCTTTTTATCCAGAAAAAGAAAGTTGTATTTTTCGGAGGGTTAATTAAGCCTTTTTAGTTTTCAAATTGGGGCTTTTGTGTAATTTATTCATACTTCACATCTGTAAGGTCTTTAACTGCTTTGATAATAGCTCTTCCTTTTTCAAATACTTTTTCTTGTACCACCACTTACTACATGAAGTCCTAAGAACAGTTTTTATAAACACGGTTACATTCAGAATATGCCTTTTACACATGGCATTTATTATGCATATTCAGTATATAAATTGGTTACATGAAGCATGCTCAAATACTGTGCAACAGGTCCTACTATTGTGTAAACACACACTCCCAACAAAATGACAATAAGCTTTATAATATCAACAATATAAGAAAAAAATCACATTATTGCTTAAAGAATTATTCATAATTCGTTAGAGAGATCAGAGGACATCAGATCTAATTAAAAGAAGTAAATGTTACTAAGACCCTCTTACCGGCTTTGTATCCCACCGTATATGTGATAAAGTTGTGTTACAGCTCAGGTGTATAAAGCTTTCATTGATTTATTGCACATTACTGGCTTCAGTGCTGACTTCATGACAGGAAGAGTACTTTGGCAGAGGTCTGACAAATCCCTATCCTTAAGTTCCCTTTTGCTTTGTGCCGTCTGTTCCCAAAGCTATCAAAGTAAAGCAAATGACAGTCTAAAACCTCCTCGTTTTGCCACGAGAGTGTGAAATCAAATTAAAAACACACCTCAGAACTATTACATTGGGCCACGTTTATTTTCAATTGGCGGGGGAGGGGGATAGAACACTTAAAAAGAGATGGATTTCATGTCCTCTGTGTAGCCAGATCTAGTTACAGTGTATTAAGTTATGTCTAAATGAGAAAAAGATTCTCAAGTGTTTTATCACAAAGTAATGTTATTAAACACATCTAGTGTTCCCACGCTTTTCTCCAGATTCTTTGCTTTTAACCTCCTTTGTTAGGCATCAAATACTGGGAGAAAGATTTCAGGAACAACACCTAGGCAGCACATGATGCCAGGCAATTAATTCTGTCTTCCCTGAGCTGTTTATCCATCATAAACTCAAGCTGCCTTATTTAGCTACACGGTTGCTATTTGTAGGGCTTCTCCTCCCTGGGTGAAAAGCATGGACCGGCTACAATTGTGTCTTTGAGCGCGCAGCATCGTGCTGCGTGCTGCCGGGGATAACGGATTCTGGGTCTCACACGCATCCGTCACCTAAGACATCCTTAAACTGAACCAGGATCTCCGCAGCTGGAGGGGAAACAGTGTGCTGGGACCCAGGCAGCTCTGAGCTACACGGATCCAAGGAGTGAAGGAACTGTTTCAGGGAGCAGCCCAGGCAAGCGGGGAGGAAGAAAGCCCTCGCACTCTTACCTCCACATTGAAATACTGCTCCGTTCCGCAGACTGTAGCACATAAAATCCAAAGCAAGGATTGCAAGAAAAACACCCCCGAATGATGCACGAAATCCAACCGTCTTCCAGTGCTGAATGTGAGTAAGATCATAGTGAACTGTGCTTCAATGGATGGACGAGCTCCCCTTCGTTTTCTCCCCGTCTCCTTCTCCCTCCCTCCCTCTTTTCCTTCCAAAAAAAAAGTCCTCGGGGTGGGTAAGGAGCCTGCAGGTTCACCCACAGCCGGTCAACGGGAGGAGATGGGGCCCCGCGCTTGACAGCCCCCGAGAAGCAGCGGCGAAGATGGGGTCAGCAGTAGTTCGCTTTCACCATCCTCCGGGGTCAGTCACCGGGAAGGTGGCGGCCAAGTTCACCGGCGGTTCCGGCTCAAAGCGCCGAGTCGCAGCCGCAGCAGCAGCCGCCGCCGCCGCCGCCGCCTCCAGCCCGTGCGTCCTCCTCCTCCGCCGCCCACTCCTCCGCCGCCGCCGCCCCCAGCTCCTGCGGGAAGGGCCTCCGCCGCTCCTCGCTCTCTCGCCTCTGCTTCTCCTTCCCTCCTCTCCTCGCTCCCCTCCAGAATGTTCATCCGTAATCTACATAACTCCTCCTTCCCGGGGTCTGCCAGGCTCTCGGCGCCCGTGGCGCGCGCGCGCGCGCGAACACACACACGCACTCACACTCACACATACCGACACACACACACACACCCACGAGCTTACACACAGCCCGACACACACGCACGCGCGCCTCTTAAAGGAGACGGCTCCTAAAGGCTTTCCACTACGGTAGGGCGCACCGGAGGTATCCGCCCACGGCCGGGACCAGGTTTGAGCAGAGCTCTTTGACAGTATCACACACCCCGCATCCCCGAGGCAGGCACCGAGGAACCTGGGCTGCTGCATTCTTTCTTCTAGCCCACCCCACCGCTTGGCATCTAAAGACGAGTGCGCCCCTCCCCAGCCTTGAGCTGGGTGGGGCTCAGGCTGCACACCCTGCTGGGGCCTGGGGAACGGCCCAAGCCTTGTCCTGGAAAGCGGTTGGCATTCTCCAGGAAGCGGCCCTGGAAGATTAGGGGCGCTGGGATACAGAGGAGCGCCTGGTCACTGAGCGCCACTGGGTGGCTCGGGTCGCTGGCCAGCGCTGACCAAGTTTGGGAAGCCTAAGATGGCAAATCCCGAACGTCCAAAACTTTGTTGGGGTCCGCTGAGCCTGTGTCCCGGTGTCTTCCTGAATCCCCTCTACCATCACTACATTCTGCCTTCCAGGCTTCAGGAGTAGGCACAGGGTTGTGATGGGGGACTAGACAAATACAGACGCGGAATGAAAATGCTCACTTTGCAAGTGAACAGTGGACACACGTACACACTGGGACCCAGGAGAGGTGGTCCTAGGTGTTAAAACATCTGAAGAGAGAGATGGGGACGCTGGAAAGAAACCGGCTGTGGGAGCCAGGGGAAGGGCTGGGGAAAGAAGGAGAGGAGCAGCCTGAGGAAAGGCGAGTAAAGCAGCTGGCAAGGGCGGGAGGAAGAGGCTGCGCGCAGACCGAGCGGGGGAGAGGCTGGCAGGAGCGAAGAGAGCTGCAGGCGAGAGGGGGAGGCTGCTGGAAGGAAGCACCAGCGACCGCGGGCAGGGGAACTTCAGAGGAGGCTGCCAAAAAGGACTGGAGCTGCAGCAGTGAGAGGCAGTGGACAAGGGGGGCAGCAACCACCAGCCCTTGGCAGGTGATGGTTTGGCTGAAAGAGAAGGGGAAAGGAGTGAGGCGAGCATCTGTTTGGGGGCAATGCCAGTAAATGTGCTTCTCCTTGGCAGCCAGCAGAGGGGAAGAGGAGCCCACGGGAAAGAAAAGCAGGCGAGGTTAAGAATAAAGAGTGTTCCAGGTATGACAGCTACCTCGGTGAGGTGGAAGAGAGAATTGACAAGGCAGATTTCATGGGTGAGTTGGAAAAGCAAAAGCAGGACTGCAGGAGTTCATATGTGGTAAGCAGATGGAAAATGCTGAAAAATGGTTTGCCAAAAATTGTATTAGACTGTAATAACTTTTATCCTATAAAAGAAAAAAAGACTGAGGAATGAGACTTTGCAGCTATTGCTGTAAAAATATAAGAAATGCCCACCCAACTTGACCCAAGACCCTCAGGGAGACCTTCCTGACAGTTTGCCATATGTCCAGCGAGTGCTGCCCATAAAGTAATTTTGAAGATGTAATAAAAAAAAAAAAACAATGTCTTATATTGTATAGCATATTAGAATATTCAGAATGTTTCCATACATAGTATCTCATTTAATTCTCACACGATTTCTGAGGATTTTGTTTGTATTTTACAAATGAAGAAAATGATAGCAATAAAATACACCATTTCAGCAAACCATACAAGCCACAGAATTCAGACCTGTTTCCTGACTCCCAGTTCAGTGATTTTCCTGCTATATTCTAGTGACTTTCCAAATAGAAATTCATTCCTGCTCTTAGCAATTTTATAATCCATAGCTTGAGATGACTTATGTAAAAGAAACCACTAGAAGGCAATATGAAAGCAATGTCATTATGTAGAATTTATATAGTGTTCTCTGCCAATATAAGGTAACAAAATGTACTGAAGTATTTGTCAATAAATCAAGACTGATTTTTATGTGTGCATTATATTGAGTAAAGTGCAAAATCAGAGAGGGGAAATTATACAAAAAAATGTTTAAGGTCAGTTCCTAGACTTTCAGATACTATTGAAGGGGAGGAGGTAAAAATAATTTACCCAAGCTGCACATGAGAGAACAGTGCTAAATGATGAAGGCCTTGCTATCTGAGCAAAATATTAGAAGATTTTATCAAGGGAATGAAATGCAAGCTGAGCACTGCAAAACTATCAGCAAGGAATATTTCACCATTAGCAATTTTTTTTTTCTTTGCATGAACTCAGAAAAGAAAGATAGTGTATTTGTGGAGGACAGGTATGGAGAGGGACCTATAATGAAATATTGAGTTAACATTTTTTCAAATAGACAAACAAGGATTGCTAAACTATTCTAGATAGGAATAGGTATCTAGGGAATGTTATCTTCAAAATTATGCATGAGATTGACCATGGGAAGGGACTCCATGCAAAGAAGTAACAATTAAAATAAGGTTTTAGGTTGGGCATGGTGCGTCACACCTGTAATCCTAGTACTTTGGGAGGCCGAGGTGGGTAGAACGCTTGAGGTCAGGAGTTTGAGACCAGTCTGACCAACATGATGAAATCCCATCTCTACTTAAAATACAAAAATTATCTGGGTTTTGGTGGTAAGCACCTGTAATCCCAGCACCTCAGGAGGCTGAGGGAGGAGAATCACTTGAACTAGGAGGCGAGGGTTGCAGTGAGCCAAGATCACACCATTGCCTGGGAGACAAGAGTGAAACTTCATCTCTAAGTAAATAAATAAATAAATAAATTAATAAAGTTTTAGTCCAGCTAGTGAGGTAGCCTAGAAAATCTATGCTTTCAAAGAGCAATCATAAGGTTAAAACAAAACAAAACAAAACAAAACTCTGTTGAAAGTAGCAAATCCTAAATTCAGAAAATAATATCAAATTAGTGATTGGTGAACATGATAGGAATTTTAAATTATTTATAAACAGTTATTAAACTTATTTGTGAGCATTCAATGAAAAATAAGTGAATGAAAGAGTGTTCAAGGTTATAGAAATTCTATGAATATTCAAGGTTCTAGAAATACTAACAGAAAGAAAATACTGTTTTATTTCTGAGATGAGACTCAGAAGGATTCATAGTACAGCGAGGACAGACATATAATAATTATTGCAGTGTTGTAAGACCCAGGTAATTACAAAAGCAAGATGCTGTCAAACAGGGTGGAAGAAGTAGTTGATTTTGTGTTTTTTAATTTTTTTTTTTTTTTTTTTGAGAAAGGATCATAAGATACGTGGTTCTCAAGTGGAATCTCATAATGAGAAATGTTCTAGGCAGATAGGAAAAGGAATAATATTTCTGATCTGTGTGCAATGGAGGAATAAATACACAAAGAGGCATCTGTGGAACTACAAATAGCTTGTCAGGGCTAGAGGCTATGGTGTGTAAAGCAAGGTCAGAGTCATAGGTTGCATGAATAAGGATGCAGGCATCAGATCAGGAAGCATCTTAGGTGCCACATTTCAGGCTGCAGACTTTCTCTTGAAGGAATTCCTAGGAGGAAATAGTTGGATTTTCACTACCTTTATTGTTTGTTTGCTAATTCCATGGAAACAATCAACTTCTAGTTCTCATATATTTTACCTCATGTGTTCCAGTGAGCATGTAATATCTACTGTCTTTGCAGATCTTCTATCTGTGCTTGTCTAATAAGCCTAATGCAACATTTCACATATAGACTCAGATGGTTACCTGCAGAAAAGAAAATTGCTTTTTTGGTCAGATGAGTTTGTTACTCCATCTTTAATCTATTATATATACTTATCTTTTAAGGGCCTAGAATTATGAAGAAGTTCCTGTTCTCGCATATTTAGTAGCGTGAGCTTCTCGGTAGTCTTAGAGAGGGTGTTGTTTTCCTATGCACAATAAAATAAAACATGGAATATCATCTTTCCCTTTATGTTGTGAATGATATCTTTCCTCACAACTCTTGGCAATTGCTGTTTGTGTTTTCTGTCAAGTATTTTCCCTCTTCTCACAATTTCACAAAACTAATGAACAATATTAGAATTACAAGTGAGTAAAGAAAAGAGAAACAAAAGAGAGGAAAATGAAAAGGAAAGCCAAAGAGAAGAAGTAATTGCCTCAGTAAAGGTTAATACCAATTCAATGAAATATTACACAGGAGACAATAAGTATGAGGAAGTAAATTATATGTAAACCTATCAATAGGCAAATGACATATACTTAAAAATGAACAGTTGAGCAATATGCTAGTATGTGTAAATATCTACCTAAAATAACATTAGAGGTAAATCATTTACTATAGCATTTATCGAACCGTTTTGGGGTTTTTGTTGTTGTTGTTGTTGGTTTTTTTAGTAAAATAGAGCCTTTGAAATTAATTTTATAGCTTGGGAAGTCACATCAACCTGTTCATTCTTCCAGCTTATCACTTAATGTGCTTTCTTTCTTATTTGCATTAGTTGAACCTGCAGCATTTTTTAAAATTTATTTTTAAATTCAGAGAATATTGACTTAGTGCCAGCTACTGATATTCTCTCACACATCTGTTATTACCAGGGTCATGCATATGTGGAACAACCAGCTAGAGCCTTATTATTTAAGGTGTGCTACCTCTGGGAACTTTAAGGCCTAGGAGCTTGTTAGAATGCAGAATCTCTGGCTCTATCAAGATACCCCAGTGATCCATAGGCATGGTAAAATTGAGAAGCACTGTTCTAGAATTTGCACACAGAACAGCTTAGTTGCACTGTGTCCACCA